CGATGATTCATGCCATTTTGGAATCCAAGATGGCGGCTTCCGGTTTTGTGAAAAACTGTCAAATAGCCAACAATATGGATATTTTCGGAACGGGAACGACGCGTAGAGGCCGGAAATCGATGATTCATGCCATTTTGGAATCATAGATGGCGGCTTCCGGTTTGTGAATGTTTCAAAAAAATGTTATGCAACAAATTTTAATAAACTTTTTTTTTCGATAATCTGTAATTAATCTTCTTACATTTACAAGAACTTCATAAATTCAATGTTGAACAACATGTGATACCAGTGACTTGGTTGTGGAATGCATGTAGCACTAGAGGTTATACAGGTACAAGTGGTAATGGCCTGCCGAGATTTGCTCAGCCGAGCTCGGTAGAAAAAAAACTTAGTGTGTGGATAGTACTTAACATAACAGAAACTGGGGTTGAAGTTGTCGCTGACCGAATAGTCAAAGTCATGAAACACAGTGAACGAAGAATCCTTGTCACTGAAATCGATGTTTAGCCAATAAGACATCATGGACACTGCCACTGCCAAAGTAACTCTAGTCGGAAACCTGACAGACTTAAATCTTATTTACATAACTAAGACTTATCGATACTTAATACAAGCAAATGATGAAATTAAAGCATACCCCGTCAGTCAATGCTAACCAGTATATTATTGCGGTAATGCTCTTCGACAGAGGAACCATGCCATTAGTGCGAAGCATTTTTAGTCCACTGCACAGTGGTCCAGAATGCAGATTTAGGTGTAATGATATGTTTTGAGCCTGAAATTGGAACTTTAGACTAAAAGTCTTTTCTACAAAGTTGTTTCTTAAAGTTAGGCCCTTATTTTTATGACAATGAATTCTAGGGTGGTTCTTATTATCATTAAAATCAAAAATATAACTTTTTTGTTTGAATAAATTAAGGTATACATTCTTGGGCAAAGTTATAGCTGAGCTAATTTCAAGCAACTTTGTTGAAAATAACTTTTTTGTATCTCTTAAATTGGCCGATTTACAGCTATTTTCTTGAATTGAGTTAGGGTGGCTCTTAAAAATACAGTTTTTTTGCTAGATTTATCTTATTTCGAATTTCTCAGCAAAGATGTGTTCAGATAACTTTTAGATCTTAAAAAAGCGCAAATTTTTACTGCACAAAGCTTGTCAATATCTTTCGCCGATCAAGAGTTATTGACGTTTTTATACTAAAAGTATGCACTTTTCAAATGTTAATATCTCTGTTTGGCGCAAACAAAAAAAAGTTTTTTTGCAGCATTTGAAAGAGCGTATGTTATTCTCAATAATATGAAAAAATTGGAGGTATGTTATTTTTTAAACTCGTATAAAATCAATTTGAATTTATTCATATTTTTTACTATATTTGAGTATATCTTTTTTATTAGAAGAAATACAGGCAACAAATTCAGCTATAAAACATTCGTCTTAAAGAGTTTCAAAAGTCTCTAGAAGATGACTTTCATGATAAATTTCAAATAAAAAAGATGGATTTCATAGGACCACTCTAATGACAAATTTATATAAAATGTGCTAATACATTTATTTCAATATTTGAACATTTAGTGTCTTGGAAGAAGTTTTTGTTCTTAAAAATTCCCTTCTTTTGGTGTTTGCAAACGTCAGGGTGGTCCTCAAATTAGGGAATTTTTAAAACTAACTTTTTTGTTTTACAAAATATAAACATGTGTTGTTCAAAAAAGTTGTAGTTAAGTTACTTGCAAGCAACTTAATCGAAAAAAAAAAATTTTCTATCTCTTAACGTTCTCATTTTAGAGTGATTTTTCGGAGTTGACTTAGGGTGTTCCTGGAAAAAAATAGTTTTTTAGCAATTACTTTTTTATTTGAAAATTCTCATGAAAATTATATTCTAGAGACTTTTAAAACTCTTTAAGACAAATGTTTTATAGCTGAGTTTGTTGCCTGTATCTCTTCTAATAAAAAAGATATACTCAAATATAGTAAAAAATATGTATAAATTCAAATTGATTTTATACGAGTTTAAAAAATAACATACCTTTATTTTTTCATATTATTGAGAATAACATACGCCCTTTCAAATGCTGCAAAAAAACTTTTTTTTTGTTTGCCCCAACCAGAGATATGAACATTTGAAAAGTGCATATTTTTAGTATACAAACGTCAATAACTCTTGATCGGTGAAAGATATTGACAAGTTTTCTGCATTAAAAATTTGCGCCTTTTTAAGATCTAAAAGTTATCTCAAGACTCCTTTGCTGAGAAATTCGAAATAAGATAAATAGAGCAAAAAAACTGTTTTTTTAAGAGCCACCCTAACTCAATTCAAGAAAATAGCTCTAAATCGGCCAATTTAAGAGATACAAAAAAGTTATTTCCAACAAAATTAGCTCAGCTATAACTTTGCCGAAGAATGTATACCTTAATTTATTCAAACAAAAAAGTTAGATTTTTGATTTGATTGATAATAAGAACCACCCTAGAATTCATTGCCATAAAAATGAGGGCCTAACTATAAGGAACAACTTTGTAGAAGAGACTTTTAGTCTAAAGTTTCAATTTCAGGCTCAAAACATATCATTCCACCTAAATCTGCACTCTGTACCACTGTGCACTGATACCAGCGCTCATTTCTGAAAAAAAAACTTATAATTTATTCATTGCTTGCAAAAAGAATAGATGAATCAGGGCACATGTATCAGTATAAATCAAATTATAAAACTCTATAGTGTGAAAAAAATCAACAAATTGAAAAATTTACTCGGAGTCGTATGTTTGCGAAAAGAATTATTTCGCGAAGTTCTCTTTGGCGCAATTCCGATTTGCAGAATCCTATTTTGCGGTATAAGGATAAAATTTCTGCAAGATAGGACATTACGCGAAATGGGATATTCTGCCAAATAATATTCCGCTTGATGAAATAGGTTACCCCGTAAATCGCTATTGAAATGCCACTGCCGTCAAACTATAGGGCGCCTCGATTATGTTGAGCCGACTCTTTCAATTAGTAATGGATGAAATGGTTTTGCAGAACATACATGTATACCACATTTTTTTTTGACCATGTCAAACAGTGGAATTTAAATTGAAGTTTAATTTAAAGGGTCTGCTTCAGTACATACCGTGCACTGGTAGTGGCAGTGTCCATGATGTCTTATTGGCTAAACATCGATTTCAGTGACAAGGATTCTTCGTTCACTGTGTTTCATAACTTTGACTATTCGGTCAGCGACAACTTCAACCCCAGTTCCTGTTATGTTAAGTACTATCCACACAATTAGTTTTTTTTCTACCGAACTCGGCTGAGCAAATCTCGGCAGGCCATTACCACTTGTACCTGTACAACCTCTAGTGCTACATGCATTCCACAACCAAGTCACTGGTATCACATGTTGTTCAACATTGAATTTATGAAGTTCTTGTAAATGTAAGAAGATTAATTACAGATCATCGAAAAAAAAATTAATTAAAATTTGTTGCATAGCATTTTTTTGAAACATTCACAAACCGGAAGCCACCATTTTGGATTCCAAAATTGCGTGAATCATCGATTTCCGGCCTCTACACGTCGTTCCCGTTCCGAAAATATCCATATCGTTGGCTATTTGACAGTTTTTCACAAAACCGGAAGCCGCCATCTTGGATTCCAAAATGGCATGAATCATCGATTTCCGACCTCTGCATGTCGTCTCGGTTCCGAAAATATCCATATCGTTGGCTATTTGACAGATTTTCACAAAACCGGAAGCCGCCATCTTGGATTTCAAAATGGCATGAATGATCGATTTCCGGCCTCTGCATGTCGTCTCGGTTCCGAAAATATCCATATCGTTGGCTATTTGACAGTTTTTCACAAAACCGGAAGCCGCCATCTTGGATTCCAAAATGGCATGAATCATCGATTTCCGGCCTCTACGCGTCGTTCCCGTTCCGAAAATATCCATATTGTTGGCTATTTGACAGTTTTTCACAAAACCGGAAGCCGCCATCTTGGATTCCAAAATGGCATGAATCATCGATTTCCGACCTCTGCATGTCGTCTCGGTTCCGAAAATATCCATATCGTTGGCTATTTGACAGTTTTTCACAATACCGGAAGCCGCCATCTTTGATTCCAAAATGGCATGAATCATCGATTTCCGGCCTCTACGCGTCGTTCCCGTTCCGAAAATATCCATATTGTTGGCTATTTGACAGTTTTTCACAAAACCGGAAGCCGCCATCTTGGATTCCAAAATGGCATGAATCATCGATTTCCGGCCTCTACACGTCTAGATTATACCATGCAAGAGTGGAAATGGCTGAATTCCAACACAAACCTGGTTCATTGTCTGGCTTTGTGGAAGCCAGCTGCTTTCAAGATGGTTAGGATTTACAAATGAGAGAAAATTCCGTAATGGTGTGATCAAAGCATTCGGAAAGTCTTTACCTTCAGAAGAACTTTATCATGAACGAATATGTTCTAGGTGATCATGACTTACAAGTACCGAATAAAATTCCATGCACACTGCTCAGTTTTTTTGTTATGATGAATTTTGAAATAACACGGGTTTATCACACGGTTTTGTGAAACACATGGTCTTTTTTTACACGATTTTTTTAAACAACGCGGTTTTTTTTACACGGTTTTTTGAAACAACACGGTTTTTTTTTTACACGGTTTTTTTTTTACGCGGTACGTATCCCCCGTGTAAAAAAAGACTTGAGTGTATGTATTTACAATTCAGCTGATTTATGAAGTTGATCACCCCGAGTGTCTAGACAATAAATGATTGCTACAGAACAGCTTTTACAGCTTAATATTACTGTACACAGTTAAAAACAATATTAAGCAGGACTGGTGAAGAAAACGGCTCTAGAACACATATATGTACTCACGTTGGTTCTGGCAACGCTGCTCTGAGTATACAACATAACGCCTTCCGCGCGTAACTGCGTTACTACAGCTGATTGATTACGTATTTATTTTTCTTTGTCTGTTTTGCTCTGCCAGTTTTATTTTGATTTTGTCCAGGAACGGACAGGAACATAAAGAACTTAAATAAATTAGTTCCCCTGTGAAAGGAATTTTCTTTGTTACAAGAATATTAGATTGAATTAAATCGCAATTCAAGCCGGCAACTGCTTGTAAGGTTTTCTGTTTATCTCTAGTGGGAAAGAAAAACCGAAGAACCTAAAGATGGCACATGAATTGGAGGACGAAAGTTACGTGATTCAGATCCGTGCCAAACTCAACCAGCAAAAAGTAAAACTCTGGGAACTTCCGTATTACAATTCCACCACCCAAGAATGCACTGAGTCAGAGCTTGAGGTAAGTTTTAGGATAAAAATGTTTCAAATAAACCTATACGTTTAGCATTATCGGTTTCGTCTTTTTTTTTAGAAACTGGCTATTGTATTCCATGAGCAGCTACAAATTTCGGTCAAAGATTGTTTAAACGCAATCAGAAAGCTGCAACAGAATGCATTGGACAAGCTTAAGAGCAAGGATGAATTCTCGAAGACTGGTATCGCCACGTTCAAGATACGAACTCCCATGCAAGGGGCAGCTAATCGGCACTTTGACGTGAAAGTCAAGACCACCGCAAAAGCTCAGGAACTGGCTGAAATCGTCGCAGGAAAACTGGAAACTGAAGCGCTCAGGTAATGAGGTCCAACCCATTCTTGGTGGAAAAGGTGATACGGTCTGGAAGCCTTTGATCCGATGCCATTTCGCATTTTCTGGAGTATAATTATCAGGTATCAGAAAACATACAAAACAAAACTGCTTCCCCATATTTGCTATGACGCAGCAAATATGGAGAAGTAAAGTTTATTCTTGAAATAGCAATAGTGTCCTAGATTTACTCCCTAGAAAATTTGAAGTGGCAGTGCAAGTCAGCCATCCTGCCGGTGGTTTGTGGACGCTGTATCGTTCTATAATGTGAGCTATATGGCGATAGGTTTCCTTTAAAAAAAATTTGGCTAAATAAATTCAAGCAAAAAAAAAATAAAAATTCAAATTTGGATTAACGCCATGAATGGGTACCTATGTGTTCTGCTATCGAATAACATTGTTCCAAATATTAAATTTGCATAGAATTAAATTGGTATGTGCCGGGAAAGTTTTGAACCATCTTCAAACGCTTGCCGAGCAAAACGTTTCCAATGGAGCGACTGTGATGGCTCTGGTTATGATACAGAGTGCCGATGCTGCTCAGAAGGAGAATAGTTTATTCGATCGTGTCCACAAAATTCGAAGCGACGCTGAGCTGCTTATCAATGATAATGATCAGTCGAATTTTCTCAGCGTGAGTTTGAACTTGGAAATCAATTATTTTTTTGTTCTGGTAAAATCAATTGCTTGTTACTTTAGCTAGAGGATCAAGATGGAAACGCCATACATCTTCCCAAAGCTGAAAAAACTGCCTTGCTAATGGCTTTAACCCTTTATGAGAAGGGAAAGGTGGCGCTAAGGAAGGAAAACTTTGAAGAAGCACTCCTACTGTTCCTAGAGGCGGACACAGATTTTCGAAGCTGTAACTCCCAGCTTTTGACAATGGTCGATAACTATGCACTGCTTAATTTAGATATTGTTTGGTGTTACCTTTGCCTTAAGGTACGATTCTTTATAGTATTGTTTAAACATACTTCAATGAAATCTTTTCTAGAATATTAACCAACTTCCGGATGCGGAACAGAGACTCCGTGTGTGTGAGGAGAAATTCCGACAAAGCTACGGTGAAAACATGCGTCGCGTCACGGCCATTAAAGGAACTCAACAGTGCAGTGAGAAAGCTTTACTATTGAGACTGCACTTGCTCAAAGCGATCCTGTACTTCCACCAAAATAAACGAGAGGAAGCAAAGATTATGTTTCAAGTGGTAGAAACCGAACTTCAATCTCTAAAAGTTGATGACGCGTCGCTGACTACGCTGTTGGAGTTTGGCTTTGATTTATCCGAATCCAGGATTGCTCTTAGAGCGAGTACCAACAACGTAGAAGCCGCTGTAGATTTCATCAACAATCGAAGGGAAGTTGTAGCTGCTAATGAAAAAAAGTCAAAACGAGAGAATAATCTCTACAAGAAGATCGGTTATGAGCAGGCTGACGAAATCCGCATAAATGTTGATCTGGTTGATCAACTAACCGAAATGGGCTACTCGGAAGGCTTGGCTGCTACAGCGTTGAAAAGGTCAAACAATGATATCCTGAATGCTTTGAACGATCTTCAAAATAACACAGATCTTCTTAAGCGTGAACTAATGAGTAACATGACGCCTTCGCAAGATCTCATCAGCAAACTCACCGATTTAGGATTTCATAAGGAAGCAGCATCAACAGCACTTCGTCAAACTATCAACAACTTTGAAGATGCTGTAGAATTCCTCATCACTGCGCGAAAGAACAATGAGTACGACAAACTGCTAACAGATCTAGAATGCTTGAATGCGGAGTCATCACCATCTGGGGAAAGTACAAATACTCATACTTCTGCCGCATCACTAGTAACTGAACAGGCAGGCCCATCGCGCAAGAAAGCCAAAAATGATAGTAACAGTGCAAAGAAGGAGATGATGGATATTCTCTACAATAGCTTTTCCAAGGACATGGATACCAACAATAATAATTATTTGGATCTGCCCTTGATCGAAGAAGCAACCATCTTGGACGAGTACAAAAAGTTGCTGAATATGAAGTAGAATAATGCCCCATCGTGTGCAATTTTTTTTTAAATATTTTTTTATACTTTATAATTTCCGTCCTGTAATATGTTTATCTACATTGAGTTCATATGAATATTCATTATAAATATAAACAAAATGCATGTGGAAACAAATTGTTCCTGTTTATTTATGGATGTAGGGTAGAGAACTACTTCGGCCTAATCGCCCATTTTGGGCCTATCGAGTAGAATACTTCAAATAAATCCATGATTTCAGAGTTAACCAGTCATTAATGCGTTTGGTACGATACTATAGATAAGCTACGGAACGAGGTCAATGAGAACGCGTGATATGAAGGATTGCACCCATTATTCCCAAAAACAAAAGAAGCGCTCCGACCGAATCAATTTTTATCTTCATCCGATAGGCCAAAGTGAATTCATTGGCGTTTCAATGTGTTAGGCCGAGTTTAGAATCCGTAGGCCGAGTTTGGCGTCAAAAAGCAGTGTTTGACTTTTGACAATATCTCAACGATTAGGTTCTCTTTATCAAATCTTACGATACGTACGGAAAGGCAAATAAATTTGGAAGGCATCAGTAATAATATCATTCCTTTTGGTGCTAAACTGCGGTAGATTAAGAAAGACTAAGTGCGGGTTGTGCTTAGTAGGCCGAAAATGGGGTAGTTAACCCTACCTATATAGTAGTTTGAAAGATGTGAATGCATGCTCATTGCATTTATAATAAAAATAGATTATTCTTCCAGAAGAGAACGAGAGCTAAGCCAAACAGATGAGCACGTTTCTTCGGGACCTTCTGGTCTTAGAGTTACCTTTATGATACTACTACACGAAATTCCAAGATCGATCGCACTAGAGAACAATATAGAGCTGTCAGGTAGGTAGGATCCCGAAACTCATCAGAGATCTCGAAGATGAATCCGAGTTCTGGATCAAAACGATCATCGCTTCGGCATGGGACAAGGAATGGGCTAATACCTGAGACCCTTTCTTACGCAAAATAAAAGGAGATACGAAATGCTGGTCCGACACCAAAATCTGGAAGGACCAGAGAGTACTGTCCAGATTACGCTGCGGCTACACCAGATTCTCTCACGATCTCGGATCCCGTGATGGATTCCACAAACAATGTGTGGGGTGCTCAACCAAAATGTCAGTTGAGCATCTCATAATAAATTGCCCTGCACATCAAAACCTCCGAGACCAATATGGTATTGGTCTCAGCATCAGAGACGCATTATCCAATGACCCATAAAGGGAAAGATTATTTATCGACTTCCTTAAAGACACAGGCTATTATCAATCTACGTAGAACCCCGCAACGAACAATGACACGACAACGGACGAACGACGGCACTTGGACAACACCAGCTCTCTAAATGACATTTCAAACGGAAGAACGACGACAACCCTGCAGGCTACGGACATTGGCTCTCTCTCTCGGAAATTAACCACAACTCCCGTTCACCTTCCTTACTGTTACAACAATCGACACAGAACTCTGAGATCCTTAAACTCTGTAGCAAACACTATGTAATTTATTGATTTTCTCTCTCCGGGACCCCCTCAGGAGCCCCTTCCCTTCAAAGAGACGAACCAGCTAAAGGCTGAAAGTCTCTATAATAAAGCAAAAAAAAAATGAATCCGAGTTGTCTGTTAGCTTTGGGTTTGATATTCATGTAATGTCTCTTAAATGTCAAAGCAGAATCAAGTGTAATTCCTAGATCACGATCCTAGAGCACCACTCTTCGAAACTATCGATCAGGTGCTGCAACCGCAAGCAACCAGTGAAGCATCGCACAACCACGTACATCTTGACATTGTCAGCATTGAATGACTAGCCAATCAAACCGATTCCGTTAATAAATATCGAGAATAGCAGCGGTCCTAAATTGCTGCCTTGAGGAACGTCTGAGTTGTTTGAAAAATATTCCGATTGATCATAGCCGATTTTCACACAAAGCTCTCGATTGGTAAGATACGATTCAAACCAACAAGTGAATCCTTTGGAGAAACCTCGGGAGAAACGGAGCTTCTCGAGTTTGGCAAGTAGAATGGTATGATCAACCCGGTCGAAAGCAGCCTTGAGATCCGTGTATACGACGTCCACCTGTACTCTTGCCTCCATATTCCGTAGGCATAGGGAAATGAAAGGAGTGAGTTTTTTTTTATTTTTTTTTAGTAGCGAGTTCGTTGAGACCGAACTTTTGGGGTGAAAACGATGTTGGTCAGGAGAAATGCAGTTTCTACAGCTGGCAAATAAAGTCGACAGTGAGCATGCATAAGGGCGAATACGCGATGATCGATTCTCTTAATCGATTTTCTCTTTGCATTGCTACAGCTAAGCGAAACAATTTTCTAGAATTTGTTCAATGCAGAGTAGTAACAGGTTGTATTGGTTATCAAAAGCAACAGCAAACGCACCGAGAAACGTTAAATCTAGCGAGTTATTAACAAAAGAGAAAATCGACGAAGAGAATCGATCATCGCGTATAGGCCCTTATGCATGCTCACTGTCGAAGTGTCGTTGATGATTATCTCGAATACTTTCGAGCAGGCACAAAGAGGAGTAATTCCTCGGTAATTCTCCACATATCGCTTGTCTCCTTTCTTGAAAATCGGGAACATGAACAAAGATTCCCAACGAGAAGGAAATACACCTAGTTGTAATGAAATATTGAACAGCTTTGAAGGCGGTTAGGAAAGCTCTGTTGAGCATCTTTTGAGTACCTATGCACGATGGAATGAATTGTTTCGCAACTTTTCGAGCTCGTTATTATGAAACCGTTGATTGCTCGTCGTCAGCAGTATCTGAGTGCTGATCAACATGGGTTCATCGCCATACAACCGCCAATCCGCTGTATTTCACATGATACCTGCATAACCCATAGTATGACTGTCCGGGTCGCCAACTAATAATTGCCACTGGAGATTGCAGATCAGCAAGCTTTAGCGCTACATTAGGTATACCGCAGTGGAGCCACCTGGGACCGTTCATTTTTCCGCTCCTCAACCACGAGCATCTGGTTATCGAAGGACCATAAATTTTTTTACGAATCCGGTCGACTCTAGACTGCTGACTGCAACTTTCTTCAAGGTCAGCAACACATGAAGTTAACACATCAATTGTTGGCAGTGGCGTCGCCCTAACCTCAATCTACCTGTTCAACAACTCTCAAAACGTAAACAAACAAAAATATATTGCTTTGAATCGATACAAATTAGTGAAATTAGAAGACCCTATGCATTTTGAGGCCGATTTGAATTTAAACATGGCTCTAAATAACGTTTTCAAAGTGGTTGAACAGGTAAAAAGTGAGGTTACGCGACGCCACTGATTGTTGGTACTTAAAATCAAATAGTATAAAAATAGTGAACCCAGCCAAATTCCCTGCCAATTATGCGTCCATTGGCAGTATCAGGCTTCCAAAAAGTACAGCCTCCTCGCGACAGTTGGTTTATACCTGAATTGACTGTTGCTTTGTGTGCTTTACTACCGCTTGCTACCGTACGTTCAGATCTGAATTCGAAGTGTATTGGTAACAGCGCACGCACGAACGAATGAAAGCTGTATTAGAACAGTCGCATCTATACCCGCTTTGCTAAAATCATCGTGCTTGGAACGTAGTGAACCGAATGGGCTGTATTTATGCATTTCTTTATGACCAGGTTCTCAATGTTTCTGTCGTCATAACAGCCTTCACAAACCGACGACATCCCTCAGCTTACCCAAGTGGCTGTCACGAAAAGGCTGTCACGAGACATTATATACAATTGATATACGGCAGTGGAGTATGGAAGAAACCCAGAAGAATGATCCCGAACAGATATGTCGGCCCGATGTCGGATCAATGTAAGGTCATTTTATGGTCGACGTCGGCCAAATGTCGGCTCGATGTCGGGTCAATTCTGTGTTTATGACAGGTCAATGTCGGGCCAACATCGGGTTGGGGTTTGGTAGAAGTCAGGTTGGTGTCGGGTAGGCTTATATTTTTCGCCGGAGACCGTGCGTTTAAAAAAAATATATCGGATGAAAATTTTGCAATAGGTAGCACGAACGTGATAGCAACCGAACGAGCTCCGGCGCCACACTGGTGGTGTAGTAGCAGTTTTACGACATACAAACAAAATTTCAAAGACAGCAGCAACGAATCGGCAGTTTGACGGACTGCTTGTTGTATGTACGAGGAAAGTTACGAATGACCATCCGAGGCTGTCATAGCCGAACGAACAAAATACATGACTAAGAACAAGCTGTCGTGAACAGCACAAGACGGCAACGTTGCATGTCGTATAAAAGCCTCACTGTGGGCTGTCGCTTATAGCTCAATCTCAAGGCTGTCGTAGGAAAAAGAAAGCGACAGCCGTTGGAATACTGTCATGAGGCGGTACTTTTGGTATGCCTGGGCAGTATACACCCCGAACATGGAACGTTCAGCTCCATGCTTAGTAGTAATGTAAGTCTTAGGTTACATTGAAAATTTAACGTTTTTCACACGATTACCGCGACATGTGTTCATATTTACAAGTGTTACAAGTCACCTCATTTGACGGTACTTATGGTTATATCGGGATTTTCTTTTAAAAAATTTGATGTTACTGGATATGGTATAGAATTTAATAGGAACAACATTTATTATACATGCCTAATAGAAAAAAAATAAACAATCTCAAAAACATATTTTTGCCGTCAAATGAAAGGGTCAATTCACTTTGTCAAGCACGAAGCACTCCGGAATTGGTGGAAGCTCCTGAGAGCACGATCAATTTATTCAAATTAATATTAAAATTACATAAGAGGATGTTTAAAAGCTATCAGAGAACGACGTTCTGCAAAACTCAAGGTGATATTCGCAATAAAATCTTGTATCTATTGGAATTCCTATTTACATGATATGGTTACGCGACGCTTACCACAAGACAGACTAAAGAAAAATATGTTTACCTGTTATTTTTATTTATTGTCAGTTACGTGTTTGTCCAATGCTTTTATATAACAATAAGATGCTTAAAAACTCCATAGTTCTGTACTTTTGACAAAAAAATCATTAATAAAAACGTGTACAGTATGCTAGCATAGCAAAACAAAAATGTCTCCCAAAATTTCCCGAATCGCTTATTTTTGATAAAAGTACACTTTCTGTAGCCAAAATAGCATATATCCTTCTCCACCTTACACGTCTTTCATGAAATAATCGTCCGCCATTGGATCAAACCGGTCGAACTGATCGTCATAATCAGTCTCCTCGCTCAAACTGTCAGTGGATTCCAAATTCGGCACTGCCGGTGAGGTGTTACGCATTCCATCTGTACCGTCCGTTTCATCCGAATTGGACACTTCGATGCACTGCTGTAACCACGGTACCTTATCACCGTTTTTCATGAGCGAAGGCCACTGAATTGTTTGAACCAACTTGGCCAAGCGAACCACAATCGATAAACCACGCACCTCGTGGATGGTAAGTTCGGGGACAACTGCAGCAAAGAACACAACCGACAAAAGATACTTCTCGTCATCGGCAATGTAGCACAGTTTCAACGAATCTGAATCGACCGTTAGATCATACTGAACGTTCTCCGGTGCAACAGCGCGTATAATGATGAGATATTCATCCTGGCGCCAAATCGTTTTTGGACTACGGAAGTCGCATTTCAAGCGAGGGTACGCAATGTTAGTGATGGACTTCTTTCTCCGCAAGCGTTTTTTGAGTAAAGTGAGCTTCGATGAGGTTTTTACTGGTTTGGATTGCTGGTCTGCTTTAGGCTCCACAATTTCTACAATGCGAGGTTCATTGTCGTCTTCGAATTTTGAACTTTCCTGCTCATAATTGGGGTTGAACATCTGTCGATAATCGTCATCTCCAAAGTTGATATCCAAGGCAAATGGTCTCTCTTCTTCAATGTACCGCGCTAGTTTCAGTTCAACAATTTCATCAAATATCCATGACTCGAGTTCTTGCTCCGGAGAGAATAGCAGGAGCCGATAGCATTTACATTTTACCAGCGATTCCACGTGAGAATTGCGGAGCGTCTCGATAACTTTGACATTGAAGCTTCTGTAATGGCATAACACTTCGTCGTAGATCTTGTCGCCTATTTCGGGACTCCAGCCTTGATCTTCATTTTCACGCGGTTTCAAACACGCCACCTCACCTTTGATTGCCTGATAAATAAATAAAAAACAAAAACTTAATTGTATCACGATTGGTTAAGATTGAAATAGAACAAAATGGAACTTACACAAAACGGCGCTGCTTTCAGTAGATCATCGGAGAGCTTGAACAAATCTATCTGTCCGTAGCTTTCATATCCTCCAAGGTCCAGGAAGAAGAGTCGAATGTCTCGTCCTTCGATGTGCGTTACTTTGGCTCGTTGATAGTTGCTGTCGTACAAAGCCAAACAGTAAGCTCCCACTTCTACAATTTCCAGAGGAACCAGGTTCGTTTCATCTTCGGTGAAATTGCAGATCATTGACGAAATGAAAGAAAATCTATGGGTAGGTTAGGTTAGGTTAGGTTTCTTTGATAAAAAAAAGACTTTCAGCCATTGGCAAACGATGGGAAGAATTATTATTACGTATTTAATTTTAAGCAAGTTTGGAATTACTCACTTATCAACTTTGCATACGTAGAAATCGTCTGGGGCATAATACTGAGAAATATATACTTCATACGTAGATTCTTCGTCGATTTCATCGTACAATTCGTTAAAGCTTTGTACTTTCGGTTTTACCACTTGTAATTCCTCATTCGCGCTTGTTGGCTTATTTACTTCACTATAACTAACATCAGGTACATTTTCATCAGGAATACAATCATCTGAGTCCGTTTCGCTCAACTCAATCGGTTTCAGGGCTTTTGGTTTCACTGATTTATCTATCTCTATAACATTCGGGGCCGATTGAAAAACCTCTGAGTTGGATACTTTGTTCCCATTTTGTATGTGCACATCCTCCACATCAGATAATGCTTCCTCTACTTGACCTGTCGCTTTGTTTGCTCTGTCCTGGAAGGCTTGACAATTCTCCACCATCTCCGACAACAATTCCAGCGGCTCTTTATCCGCAACACCAAAGTTCTTTCCGACAATTTCCGACTTCAGATGAATTTCCATGATTTCGGTTTTGATTCCGTCCAAATGTTGCACCAGCCGTACCGTATCAACCCAAATGGTATCCTTTATCGCAAGCAACACTTTGCCTTCCACGTGGAACTTGTCGTTCGAGGTATACCGATGGATCCATTCGCGGATATTTAGGGTAACCATTTTGTCCCATTCCAGCTCGAAATCGTGCGGAACAACACCTACAATGCGAATGTCGATTGCTTGCGGTGGCAACCGGCGGAATTCTTCCGGCAAATGCAACAGCTCAGAAGATACGCAGTCAATCGTTCGGCCTACGTCGAGTAGCTTCACTTTAACCTTCCGACTAACTGAAATTTCTCTGCAATTAAACAAAGGTAAAACATAAATTAATCAAAACATTCAACAGATGGAGATGTTATGCTACAGAGAACTGCAACCGTATCGCTGCTTTTTTCATTGCTTGCCGTTCGGTAGATACATTTGATGATAAGTGTTGAAATGAAGAATACCTACGCTTGGCTTTCATTTCACCAATGAGACAAAACACAAAAACTCGTAAAAATGGTAAGTCGATTTGTTAAACTTGAATAATGGAAGCAAACTTGTCCCACTGGACCAATTCATAATCAATACCACGTGGTACCCGTTCACCGCTCACTTAAGATAGCAACATCAAGTTCACATCGTTAGTAAAAGGGCCTCCCTTTGCTCAGTCGGTAAAGGTGCAGCTTCAAAGCAAGACCATGCTGGAGGTGGCTGGGTTTGATTCCCGGTCCGGTCTATGAATTTTTCGGGTTGGAAAATTTCTCGACTTCCCTGGACATAGAGTATGATTATACTTGCCACGCAATTGGGTTGTTTAGGGGTATTGAGGTAAATACATATTTCTGCATTAGAAATGAAACCGAAATCCAAAATTTCATCAATTTTGGTACACTGGAACTATTTTAAATAAGTACGATTACATTAGCAAAAATCACTATTTTAGCGACCCTTGGCAGGACTTTGTATGGGAGTGAGCTAACGAATAGATTTAATATCAACCAACGATCAAAAATTTAAATCTTGATTTAAAAATCGAGATGAATGTCTAAGCGATTGATAAAAATATCGTTGTGCTCAGAAAACGAAGCTGTAGGGTTTTTGATCTAATTTCCGTCCTACTAAGCACAACCCGCCCTTTACCTCTCTTTTCCGAACGAGCTTAAACAAAAGATGGAATATTTCTGTCAAAGATGACTTCTAAATTCATTCACCTTTCCATACGTACCGTTGGATTTAATAAAGAGTCACAAATTGTTGAGATATTGTCTAAAATCTAACACTGCTTCTTGATTCTAAATTCGTTCTACGAGTTTCAATTCCGTCCTAACGCATTGAAACGCCATTAGATTTTCTTCGTCCTACGGATAAACGTAGAAAATAGGATTCGCTAGGAGCGCTTCTTTTCTTTTGAGAACAATGAGCAAATCTCAAATCACTCCGGATATATGCGTCCATTATTCAAGTTTCCTTACCGTGTAAATTGCGACTGAGCGGCGCAAATATCGTTTAACAAATTGTAAAAGAACGACGAAAAAAAAAGACTTCCGTACTCACTTTTTCTGATCAATGCTTATAATCCGGCAGCGCCAATAGCGGAACTCGTCGAAGATTACACACCAATCATTATAGTGAACGGTTCCGTGATCGTGATGACGATCTTCGTTTGAATAATGCTGCTGAATCGCAATGTCAAGCGCGAAAAATTCCTGAGCATCATTTACTGCTTTCCAGTCCTTTGCCCCATAGCTTCGGTGCTCCAGCACCCGAGCCGTGTAGTGCGTCGGCGAAAACATGTTGTGGATCTTTAATTTGATTATGCCACTGGAAGGAACGACGTCCCCGTATGAAAGGTCTCTGGTCGTAAAAAGATGCCGCTTCATACAACCAGCCGTACGACACTTTCCGAACTCCAGTACCTGGGAGCAAAAGTCCACATGGTTACCTTCGGCCAGCTTCTGCTCTTCCTGCTGGATGCGAATGTTCTGTAAAAGGATACGAGATATATTCAAATTAAACCTTACGACGGAAAGCTAACAGTCTAAAACCTACGTTAGCTAATTTGACGATCGGCTCGGCCACTTCATGGTGGTGAATTTTCAAAAATTCCACCAATTTTGGCAACTGTTCATTGTTGTTCTCGTCCAGCACCACCATCGAAGAGGCAGGTTTACGCAATTCGTTCTCATCTTCGTGAAACGGATCCCGATAGTAACCGAACGAGCAAGCGAACCGTCTGGTGAACATTGTCCACGAGCTGGGAAGCGAGAAGTGAATGATGTGTTGAGCCTTACTGATTTCCAAATCGGGAATGACCGCGTCGCTGCAAATCATGACGTGCATTTCGCCAGGTAGCTGATTGTCCCATTCTTTGAATCCGTCTGAAATAAATGTGCATGGTTGTTGAAGAATAAGGCTTTGACTAGAGAAATCTGCTAAAAGATAGTTGCATTACCCATTTGCGCAAGTGTGCTAGTATCGTTGCAGTACATGTGGGTGATGGATTGCGATTTCAATATTTCCACCAGTTCGTGTACTTCGGCAGCCTCACTGCAGATGACCATTGTCCGTTCGTTCTGATAATTATTCCGTTGTACAAACTTCACTACCTCGTTTATTTTAGCTGCTCTCGAGTTCAGTTGCAGCACCAAATCTGACTTGCCATAGATGGCCGCCTCCAGATAGGCTCCAATACACATGATCATATTCTTGTACCTCTTCAAAAAACCGAAGAACATTGGACTCCAGTACGTAGTGGTGATCACCATTTGCAGCTCTGGTTTATCACAAATTTTGCAAAGCAACTGCAACTCGCTGCCAAAGCGTTCGATGATGGTGTCAATGTTGTCGATCACGACCGATTGAACGCGTTCTTTTACAATAGCATTAGGCATATTTTCATGAACCCGTCGAAGACCAGGTGCAGTGGCGACCAGTATGGCACATCCGTTCAGCAAGAGATTCTAAAATTTGATAAATACGTTGTGGGAATTGCCGAGCACATTTTAACCATTTTCACAAATCACTTACACAAGCCTTAGGAATATCCCTTGCGCCGAAAGCTTCAACCACTGACATCGATACGTTAACTGCGCTGTTCAACATTTTCCTGCAATACCTCGCCACTCTCTGAACTTCTCGGGAAGATTTGCAAATGATAATCGCAAATGGTCCTGCGCCGTCTACGGCCAGATCTTCATCGTGCATTTTCTGTAATTTTATTCCAAATGAGACATAAATATTTTTTACTGATCAATGCGAATAGATCTCACCTTCACAGACGAGCAGATGGCCGGTAGGAAGGTGAACGTTTTCCCAGTGGTTGCAGAATTGACGCAGAAAAAGGAATTTCCTCGTAATATGTGTGGCCAGGCGTACGTTTGGATGCGATGGATTGAGCGAAATTTGAGCATACTCAGCTCCCGGTGGACTTCCGGACAAAAGTTTGCACTCTCCAAGCTTTCCACCGGTTTTGGAATTCGGTTACCGTGCACCAGCAACCTTTGGTGGCACAGTTTCGAACGGATGCTGCAATGAAAAGAACAGATAAGGCATTGGTTGCAGTGGGGATCAATCCGAATGAAAAACTAACTTGTTTCTGTTGGGTGCGGCATATCAAGGTTCCTATCGGGATTTCTGTTAGAAAAAAATTGTTGCTTTGTTTCTAATAAAAACAAACTCTGACTTCATCCAAGGAACGTTGCTTTATTGTGTATTATATTTTAGTTACATATTTGTTTTTCCTATTCACGTTTTGATAAATGTAAAATCAATATCTACATACGTCTAATATCAACATGGTAAATTTAGGTAGTAAATCATTGGGGGTTTAATAATTTAAAGCTACACATAAATTTCACCAACTGCCCATGCTTTTTAAGCATTAGGAAATCTTTCGTATCATGATGAATTAAATCAGATCAGTTTAAAAGGGAAGAAGAAATACTTCTCTATAATGAGGCCTATTCTACGCCGCGAATGAGGTGAGGTGACTCGCTGTCACCAGGCTTGCCTAAACTCCTCAAACTCAGATTATGCCGTATAGATGCTCATTCATCGTGAGCTAGTTCATCCCTCACATATAAAGAGCAACCCGAGCAAAGTCCAGCATCAAAATGAGAGCAAATTGAAATCAAGTTTTGATATCAACATCAAACTGAAATCATAATTTGATTTCAGTTTCGCAATTCACAAATTTGATACCAAATTTTGTTTTCATTTTGCTGTACATTTGCTCTTCAAAAATATGTTGTTTCGAGTTTGTTTTCAATGCCTTACCATAACATCAAATTGAATACTTGTTTTGTTATCAACAGGAAAAAATTATATCAAATTTAGTTTTCAGTTTGCTCTCACTGATAGCAGAAATAGTTTTCAATGTGATGTCACAGGCAGATTTTTTTGCTCTCAATTTTGATATTTTAACCGCTAAAACGACCAAAACGACAGCAACCTGAGTAATCATTATCAGCGAAATCACAACATCAAATTTAGATTTCCATTTGATCTCAGACTTTGCTCGGGAATGGTGTCAAATCCAAAGAGCGCAAAAGAGCTCGAGCTCAGATTGATGCTCAAGCTGGACTTCCACAAACACGCATCACGATGAGTGATGCGGGGTTCGTTCTTGAGTGAGGCGTGATTTACATCGGCTCTGCTCACCAAACAACATTTTGAACTTCGGGATGGACTCGGTGAAACCGTAAATATAGAGGTTCGTTATGTATTCGGAGAGAGCTCACACGGCCTTTGATTTATGCACGGTTCTTCCATTCAATATTATACAATGGCCTATAGGATCATTCCCAGAGAACGTAACATTTTTAGAGATTGATGATTTTTTTTTTAACTCGGGGACCACTTTTTGGGTTACTCAAACTCAGTCACAAAAATCTTTGATCGCTTTTTCCGCTAAGTGCTTTATGAGTGGATAAACGAAATTATATTTCTGACTTAGAATGTACGAGGGAAAAACTAGTAAAGGCACTAATTACTCCGTTTATGGATTATCTCTTGGTGCTGTCTTCGTATTCTCCCGTTGCCTTTTAACATGTTCATTCATTCAATTCGCTACCCTCGCTGCACACACGGTAGCTCGGAAATCTTTCTGGACCAACAATTGAAATAGGCAGAACAACCAAACGTAAGCAATGGCTTTAAACACAAACTTCTTGAGAATCAAAACACTACCACGTTAACTAAAATTTCCATTTTAAAAAGGAAGTTTACTTTATCAGATGATGGCGTTAGATTGCTTGGATGTGCTTTGATTTTCGAAGAATTTATGTTTTAAGCCATTGTTTACATTTTGTTGTTCCGCCTATTTCAATTGTTGGTCTAGCGTTGTTTAAGTCAGGTGAAGTCTGAATCGATTAATTCTAGAGAACATTTCAAAAGGTCCTATCTGCATTGATCGATTCTCTTCATCGACTTTCTCTTTCGTCAATAACTGAGCTGAAAAACCTTTTCCTGTTGTATTTGACGTTTTTGACGCTAGATAAGAATCTCCTTTATCAAACTATATGGTAGAATCAGCGCGAAATTTGTTTGCATAGCAAAGGTTATAAAAAAAGAGAAATTCGATGAAGAGAATCGATCAAAGCAGATAGGACCATTTGAAATGTTCATCGAGAATTCATAGCCTTCAGTTGGTTGCAAGTTGTCACAGAAACACAAATCAAATTTTGATACGGCTCTGTTCTTCAGCAAGTTAGGAGATTCAGCAGATGGTGAATTGAAGTGTAAATCTTGTGAGAAAAAATTTAAAACAAAACACAGCTCTAAACATATGAATTATTGAAAGCAAATTGAAAGCATGTTTTAAACTAAATATTTTAGGTTTGAATTAAATTCAAAAGCACGTTTAGTTCAACAATATAGGATTTGGGTAAATGGTTTTTAGCGTGTCATGCCTTTTTATTTTCTTCTTGTTTACATTCGAAAAAAATGTTGCCCCTGCTTTGCTCAACTTAACAGAAAATGGCCCGAAAGTGGCAAAACCGAATATGGATCCGGAAACCAACTTGACAAAACCGGCGAAACCCCACTGTATCAATTTCACCCCGACGGGTCCCCGCATCCCGAACAAGGACCCCAATACCCACAGCTCACTTTTAATCGCACCCCAAAATAAGCAGGGATTTAGATGCCCTGCCCGAAGATCTTTTTATTTTCATTTCTTTGCAATCCGTTTTATTTTGCTTTACCCTGCACTCAAATACTAAAATAATTTCAAAATATGTTTATTTTGTTCGCATAGTTGTCGAACCAAACAAAAACAAATCCATTTATTTTCAACACGAATATATAGAATAGATTATAGACAGCTACCCTATGAATACAATTGCCACTTTGGGGTATGCATACGTTCCATAATGTTTTTTTTTTCACTTTTTGGTTGTGCACTTCTTTCTCGAATACAATACAAAATCACTCATTCATGCGCACTGGGAGAAGCCATCAAGAGCAAAGCTCTCTACGAATACATCACGAAGCTCCAAGTTTACTGCTTTGCGCGAGCGCATCTCGAAGTAAAAAATTCTGCTCGGCAGGCAGAGTCGATGTACATACGAGAACGAGCTCCGCATCCCTCACAAAGATGCGGGTTGGCAAGAGCCCAGCTTGAGCATCAAGTATAGCTCCGTGAGAGCAAATTATTTCATCATCAAAATATGCTGGAGCTCAGCTTATTGATGATTCTTGATGGAGCTTTTGGCAAGCCTGGCTGTCACTAGTGGGAGGTGACTCTCCATTTGATTTGCACGGAGAGTCACGTCACTCGTGGTGACTTTTTCACCCCACTAGTGACAGTGAGTTACCTCACCTCACACGAGGCGCAGAATAAGAAGGAATGACTTGGGGATATCCATATACCACGTGGTCGTTAAAGGAGGGCAAATGTTCACGATCCATACCAAATTTTCAAAATTTGCACCACGAAAAGGGAGGATGTTTAACATCTCAAAAACTGTTTACGTGGTATGTGGTAGCCCCTTGTGGCAGCATTGGCATTTAAAATCGAACGTCTTGGTGGGTAAGGACAAATAAGTCGTATAACAATACAGATAGAATCGTAAATTACTACATATAAGCAAATATTATAAATTACCAATATGCTCCACTTCCCGAATTCCCATATGCTTCTGAAAAGGCGCAGCAGTAGTGGGTATTACCCAATGACATTTATATAAGGTCTGGGCCAACAGGTTGCATGCAGGTGATAGAAGTAAAAATATTACAAACATTGTTGAACATACTGCGAACAGATAAAAATACGTCACTACCATCAACTGTTTCGTAAATCGTAAAAACAAAAGGTACTCTAATGATAGCTGACTTCCTCTTGGTAATATTCATTAAAAATTCCCACGGAAATGGGAAATTATCAACCCAGAAAATTTGTAGCGCGTGCCAAGTTGAAAATCAAATAAGGAAGCAACACGATTAAAAACCCTTTGTAGCACCATACGAACTATAGTTTGTACGACGAAAAGGTATCCTAAGCATTGCGTTGATACGGAGTGCTCGTGGTTGAACGTTAACTTCGATTTGTTGTAGAATAGAAGGACAATCGATTCTGCCCTGTAGAATGTCTGCCACAAACAGGGTCCTTGTCGTATCTCTTCGACTCCACAAAGGATCCAGGTGAATTGACTGGCACCGACTTTCGTAGCTTGGAAGGCGATGAGGATCCCTCCAAGGCAATCGTCGAAGGGCAAACCAGATGAATCGTCGTGGAATAGACTCTACTCTTTGTTCACTGTTTTGGTATTTGGGATTCCATACAGGGCAGCAGTATTCTGACTAGTGCTGTGAAGAGGTCGTATTTATCGATATCGGTTTCTGAAAATTTCGATATCATTTCGATATCGGGTCCGATATCCAATTTTCAATGGAAAATACATGAAATATACTTAACTCTCTTCCAACATCATAATTCATTTTGAAAATCAAAAACATCGACATTACACAAACAAACATATTCTGTCCACTCTTCGTGGCTACATCGCTCAAAATACGCCGTGTTTCGAAAACAAACGCTCCCAAGGGACCGAGCTTATAATATTTGACAGATGTTTCAGAGCCACCTGGAACAAACATGGAAACGTACTCTTCTAACTTGTCCTATTTATAGCCGGCGCCGGTGGTGTAGTGGTAAGCGTGACTGCTTTCTAACACCCCGATGGGTCTGGGTTCAATCAAAGCCGAGGTCGGTGGGATTTTTCTGAGGCATAAAAACCTCTGGTCACGTCTTCCTTCGGAAGGGAAGTAAAGCCGTTGGTCCCGGCCCATGTGTGTTGAATGAATGGGTGCGATATCGTACGCAGGTGTGGAAGCTGCCTTCCTGCACATTCGATTGCCGTCAATGGATGGCAATCGATGTCCGTCGGTGATTGGCACTAGATTGCGGAACAGAGACCGACGTTAAATAAAGGAAAAACTTGTCCTATTTATGATAAGTACCGAAAAATAGCACATGTCATTAGTTCGACTCCACTCCTCGGGTACCTATTCATATCAATTTTTGT